GATTTACGGTACGTAGTTTGTGTTAAAAAATGTTGAAGAGAAAAAATATTTTATTATAATAAACAATTGCAACCGCACTAATTATATCATTAACAAAATGTGGTATGTTATTTTGTAATTTTGTTCTTATAAAGGCATATCCATACAACATATTAAGTACATCTACAAAAATAGTTATTTTGATACACATGCCACTGCGATCCAAAGACAGGTGTGTTGAAACGATGGCCACTCGTCGGTCTCTAATCGCTACCAGATACCACGCGGGTTTCGCAATCACCCGGACCTTCCACTCACTCTGTATAAAATACTTTGATTAGAAGTAATTTGAACACATATCGATCACACTCATTTAGGCTGTTCACTTGCATACTCCACTATCGTAGAAATTATAAGACGTAGTATTAATACGAGTACAAATGATATGGGTTTGTTGCATAATTTATATTTTGATGTCCCGGAAATTTTCCTTATGTTATAATCCCATATTCTAATATTAATTATATAATTAACAAAGTCTATTAATCCGAGTCTAACACGTTCTTAGCTGCATTCTTCTTATGAATTCGGTATAGTCAGTTTGGACATAATTTTGTTAATATAATGTGTCAATGTCGAAATCTGTATTGCGCAGAAATGTCATCAAAAGCGACCGCTGTAACCAAAAGTAGGACAGTCAAGCAAGAATTTTAATTGTGCTCAAAGTTTATTGCGGATGAGATAAAAATATCTGTTAAATCTTCGTTTTATACATCCTGTAAGAAATTCTGAAAGGATTTAGACATTGATTTTTATTGATGGTATTAGATATACATTTTGTATTATTTGTATGAAATACACTCAATATGACATCAGCAGTAATCACGAATGTGTTATGATTACTGCAATGAAAATAATTAAATGCTAAAACAGTTAAAAAAATGTAATTGAATAATATATTAATATAGTGAAACATTTGTAATTTGCAAGGAATATTAAAATTGAGTGTAAAAAAAATCCATTTTTATTTCTCTTTATTTGCTTTTTATCTGCACTGTATTTATTAGGTACATTAAAACAAAAGATTTAGGTTACTTGTATTCAATGGACAATTGATTTATTGGACACCTGACTGTAGTCAATAGTGTGGTAGCCAATAACAAGTCCGTGGTTTGCAAAAACGATGAGGGGGGAGTCAAGGCCAGTAGTACGACATACATCCCGCCACATTCACCTTCCGTCCGCCGTTGCACCGCACTCGTAGCCGGGCCAGCCACCTACACTTACCCACCACCACTGTCAAGGCTGCCTTGCGAAATACCACTACATCAGAACGACGCACACCAGTAAACACACACAAACAACACTCTGTCTAGTTACGAGAGAGTCGCTTGTGAAAATAATGTCGCAACCAGCCATTGGCCTTCGACAGACAACTATCCTTATATCAAAAAGTTTTCATCGAATGTATTCCTTCTCTCTATATATAAATTCGCAATGAATTTCCGCATACTTATAAATCTTGCAATGGTATTCCCCCGTATATAGATAGGTACACGTTGATATGAAATTATAAAGTGGCTTTTTACCATACGATTCTTTTTTTCTTTGCCGCTTCGTAGCAATAAGGAAGCTTTCAGCTTTCCGGGTGGCTGACACTGGATGACCTTGAATAGGGAGTTTTTATTTTCACTTATTCCTTTAAAGGCGAGCTTTCAATTTGTAACTTTAATCATTATGACGGTAAATGTTTTATAGCTTCCCATACAGAGTTGGTTACTTTATTTATTATTGTCGGCTGCAAGTTTAGTTATTCGATGAAGGTGCAAACTTGCATTACAATGTATGGGTGTAATGAATTACAGAATAGAAACCACAACGCATTCAGAATTAAGTTGGCGTGAAATCGTAGAGATTTTTCTGGTAAATTATTCATGTGGCTCACGTTGGGCTAACTTTCGACGCGTTCTTGTGAAAGCCTTTCACTCTTATCATGGGAGTTGTATGTTACGTAGATATGTGTATGAATATAATTTTAGCTATGGTATGTAACTAGTAATTTATGCGGTATTGTTATGTTGCTTTTTAATATTTTTATTGTAAAAGAAGAAATTGGTAGATTCTATTGAATATAAAAATTTCCAAGTACTATAGTAATATTTATGTTGAAATTCGGACTTTGTACTTCAGAGTTACAATTACGTAGCGTGGATTTACGTGCATTGATGTAGCGGTAAGTGTGCACGCGTAACGGATGCGTTTTTAGTTTAGCTACCCGACAACGGCAGAAAGTATGTTAATGTGTGCACGATTTGAGCAACCAACCGCATACGATACGCGCCATTGCCGCCTGCTCCCGTGAGTTGGTCCCGTTGCTATTAATAATTGACCTACATCAAGAAACTTAATTTTTGTAATTAAAATAGCTCATGTATTTTATAAAATGAAGTATATACCCTTTGAAGGTTTTTTATAGGTTAAAAATAAGATAAAAATGTACCTAATGTTCATAATTTTCTTCAGAACACTTGAAATTTCTTATTTAGTTATTCTTTTGTGGCTATTTGGATAGTAGTAATATAATTTAAAGTTCTTAAATTTGTATTTGAAATAAGTAAGAATATAGCTCTTGTAAATGATACGAATATCTTGTTATTTGTACATTACGATAGAACATGACGCTGCACGGAGTGTGTCATTCATATGTTGGAAACCGGCCTTGAGTCCGGATATCTTCCAGTCTGTTTTATGGAAATACGTAATCTTCCGCTACTTTCACATTTTTAAACTTACGTTTTCGGTTATACTTACAAAGGTTCGAACATTTCGTCATAGCATTTCTTATAATTGGCTGGTGAATAAATTCCTTTCAGTCTTCAAATATGTAAAAAAATGTGTACTAATTTGTTTTTAAAATAATTTGTAAACTGTTGTTTATTAATTCTGCGTGCTCTTCGCTGGGTTACGGTATTCTGAGATTGATGTAATAAAGATATTCTCACTGAATACTATATCCCTGTAATTATTATCTTTAATAATTTCATTGGATTCTGGTTTTCTAAGTCCAAACCTTTCCAACGTCATAATTTAAATTCGCTCGTGCAAAATATTACACACTTCGGCTTTTTATTGTGTTACACATAAAATATGCGTCAAATATTTTTTATAACGCATTAACTAATGTATGCTGTACGAAAACTGGCTCTCATTTCCGTCATATCCCTTTAACGTCAGTAAGTAGGTGCATGGAATCCGATGTCGGTCATTGAATGTGGGCTAACAAGTGTCCGGTGATTACTAATGAACTCGCCGCGCGCGGATCCCTTCGCTAGTGTCCGCACTGTACAGCTGCGCACCTCATGAGTACATTCTGTCATCGCACACTAAATAATTTACATTATCAAAGCTATAGCCTTTGACTATATAAATTTGTAACGGTAACAAAACCTAAACGGGCAAGCACGGACACTCGTTCAAAGCGCACTGGGAGAAAGCTTTTATGGATATTGTTTTTCTCGTGTATTTATAACAACACGGAAGTCTCCATTCGTATTTTTCCCTCTGCCAATGTATAATTAAAGGTCACCAATCAAAACTTTTTTTTTATGCGCGACTATGTAGACACTAATTGCGACTCGACTAACTATAACTAAATATCACTTAATTTCCTCGAAAAAAGTGCTCCTAAAGTTCTATTCATATTTAAGAAATAATGTTTATATTGTCTCGAGCGTTAAATGCTCTAAAGAGGTTTGGAAATAATAGACTGCTGGAGTCACGTCCGATTGATCGTCAACAATGTTTGCTTAATGCTTGAATCAAGTCACGTGATTGATACATATTTGATTTTCTTTTTGAGGCGAATGCTATCGTCACTTTAATATGACGAATAAAATCAATAAAATATACAATAGTGCGTTCAGTTGATCGACTTGTGCATTAAGCGACTTGATTAAATAGATTTTTCAAACCGCGATATTTACATGCCTGTTCTAAGCTGTTTGGGTCCGTACATGAAATGGCTGTAGCAACGGAATCAAAGACAGATAGATGAAGATAGATGATGCATTTACTCAATCTATGAGAACACTAAAAATGCTACTACTAAACAACTAGTTGTAACATTACAAAATTATATATTACTAGCAAACACCTATCCGAAATATAACTTCTTTATATCTAGCATGTCTTACGCAGTATGTATAGCTTCATGGATGCAACCACTAGGCGCTGATTTAATAAGGTCACACTGTCTTGTAGGGACATTTAGGTTATCTACCCTTTACTTGGCACAGTATCATTAGCGCTCTAGACTGCGACTGGGTAAACACATAATGAGACATTTATTTAAATTTACGCCTGTGATTGTAACGGAGGCAGCGGCCGGCAAGTGGCCGCAGGGCGCAGGCGCAGACCACAGTGCGCGCCACATACCCGCACCTCGGAAGTCGTAGTCGTCGAATCGTCTGCGTCATTAGTATGCGGCCGGCCGACGCATCACAACTTTCTCGGCATTCTTACTGTACCGGAGAAATGATCGCCATCGATATATTTAACTATATTTATGTTTCATTTGATTACTCTTGTTACTTGTACAATTTTTATAGCTCGTCTAATATGATGCATATATATAAGATAAAAGTTTACCTAAACGTGTTTCAAGGTCATTTTGTGTAATCATAAACCATTCTAACTAGACTGAGTTTACTACTAATCTTTTTTTTTATATTGAAATCAACATGACCTTAATTTAAGCGATTTGGTGCAATACTGGTCTGTCGTTCGGTAAATGCACTTTTGAATGTAATAACTAATAATATATATTTTTATACCTTCTGTTCTAATTATTTTAAACTATTGCAGTTAGATATTTTTTATTTCTGATTCTGGACATAAAATAGTACAGTACTTAATAACGTTTGTATGATGATATATCGATGTATGAGAATGTATAATAGCAAAAAAGCGAATGGTTTGATTTGTAATGTATTTTTAAGTAATCAAAATGGTTATCTTTCCAGGTGGCGATGGCCGGCGACTTCATCCTCGCCGTGGCGTCGATGATGATAGCTCGCTTGCGTAGCGATGAAGTCACACTTGTCCTTAGCCAGGTATGTGCAACGGGCATTCCCGTTATTATAATTTGTAGTCAAAATAATACTGACCTAGTAATGTAAATATAGACAGATGGAGAAACGAGTAACTCAATGTATACGGAAACTAAGCGTGCCACTACCAAACTACTTGCTGACCGTGATGTTATTAAAATTATTTGCTAATAAAAACCCTTCCGCACCACACGCCTTATAAAAAAAACCATTTGTAATTTTGTCAAACGTTTACGTTTGTTCTGGGTAACATGTAGAAACACTTAATCAAAATTTAGTCCAAGCAAGCTGTTTTGTCTCTATTTATGGTCAAAAATTGATATGCACAGTACATGTATTTGCGACATTTATTTAAATCTATGCCTGTGCGTAATCATTACCGCTTCCAAAATTTGTAGTCTCCTCGTGTACAATTTCGTAATAGGTTAATTTCTTTTTTTTACATTTAATTTTGCAAAAAAAGTAACATACCATTTCGATAAATAAATATCAGAACTGGTTCGTAATATTAGCGAATATATTTTAAAAGGGAATGAGGCAGAAAGGTTCTTGAATGGCGACCCCGTACGAGCAAACGCAGTATAGGACGACATCCCATTAGATGGAATGACGACCTCAAATGTCAGAGGATGCCGCTGGCTTAGGACCATTCCTTATGGCAGACTGTGTATGAAGGAGGTCTATGTCCAGCAGTGGACAGATAATGGCAGAAATGATGATGATGATGATGTTTCAAACATAGACACAAAAATGTTAAAGACCTTATACATTTTTACCATATTATATAATTAAAATAATATGATAAAATATATAACTGATATGCTATAATATAAATAATTAACATGAATGATAGATAAAAAAAAATAGCAATAAAAATATTTAAAAAAGTAGTAATAAACATTTTATATGCGTATAAATTTTCAAATATTGTTTATATAAAAATAATATTTTGTTTAGACTATTATAAGTACTAATACATTTATACTGTGATTCATTAATATAATTTTTAATGTATCTTATAATTTATACATGATGTCAATAATGAAGTGACTTCAGATTTAGTTATGGTAATGCTATGGTATGATATCTATATCTGGTCTTGGGTGTATCTGAATATTTTGCATTACCATTCATGTTCCAATTCAAATGTAAAGCCTTAAAACTATTATATTAGTTTAGAGCGTGTTGAAGCAAGTAAGCAAGGTAAATCCATAGCATTAATATTCTTATAGTAAATCCGTAAAAACAATAAGATTTTGATCGATTGAATTATTTGTAAAAATGTATCTGAACTTCAAAGTTTTCATTATGAGCGCTAATATGCAAATATATTTTTGTAGTCCATTTCTGATAACGATAAGTAACTAATATAAAAGGAATAAAATCTTTAGTATTGCCAATTTATTTTATTTGCTTTTTATTTTATAAACCGTATTATTTTAAAGACCCTGATATAATAATGTTATTTTAAACATCCATTATTTTAAAAGTAATCCGACCCGGTTTTGCACGGATAAATAGAAAAGTTCAAAAATAATATATAGCCTGTATTATTTACTGATGATGTAGATGAAAGAATTTTTGAAACCGGTTGACTAGTTTTTGAGTTTATCTATTCCAAATAAACAATAAATTTTTTTCTCTTTGTGATAAAATTAGTAGAGATTTATTAAATTTCTCTATAACTTATTTCCAGGTGGTAACAGACCTAGTGCAGGGCGAGTTCATGCAGCTTGGCAGTAAGGAGACTGAAAACGAGCGGTTTGCACATTACCTCACAAAGACCTACAGGAAAACAGCATCACTAATTGCCAATTCTGTAAAAGCGGTAATTGCATACCTATTTATTTTAATTTGGCATTGCATATTCAAGATGTGTTTGAATGCATTTACGAAATATTTGACACGAACATTTGTCATGACAATAGTCAAGTCCATGTCATGACATTTATAGATAAGGACGATATTCAAGTTGATTGTGTTTTTCGTACATAGCTATGATTTGCATAGACAAGCATAGCATACGTTCTACGATAAGGAAAATGTTTTTTGTTACTTTTTTACAAAAGTTTGAAATTTTTATAAGTAAACGTTAGACAGAGTATATAAGATCTTATTAATTAGTACGCAATCTTATCTATTTTTCCATATAAATAGTATTAATATATTAATAAACATTTTAATATCTCATAATAATCTACTGACAATATTATAAAAGTAATAACGCTTTGTATTAGTTGTCTAAGTCATTATTTTCAGTTGTTTTAATAACTGATCAAAAACGATATTCATATATGTACGTACGTATGTGAGCTTTCTTTGTCGCTTATAGCGATTAAACTATTTTAATGATTTTGACGAATGAAATATCACACAATTTGTCGTAATGTCGTCAACATATTATAGACTAAAGGCATATATCGATTATCAAAGAAAAAATATAATACAATTAAATATTAAAACCTGTGGTGAAATATTACCTCGAGGATCTTTAAGTGTAGGTACCAAAAATATATAACACATTCAAATTAAAATATGGTTTTTAATTTAAAAATGGAATGCTTACCAAATACGAATAATGTAATGACGCAATGCGATGTCGAAGCCAACATGCAACGTGAAATCGTTTACTTCAATGACCGTAGATGTACGCCTACACAATTCATGTAATTGTTTCAATTTTACACAGTCTACTGAAGATGGCATCGTTACGGCTTTGTCGGTTTAAATAAAGACATTGAAATAGGTAGTAAATAGGATTAACTATTGAATAGTAAATGTGCCAGTTAATTTCATTGAACAATTTTAAATATTCTTAAAATATTATTTTTTTATATGTAACGTTGGGTTATGAGGGATTAAATCTTAAGTTAATATTAGGCATTTTAAAAATTTTAGTCTTGCTAATTAATGAAAAATAAACGTAAAACAAGAATAGCCTTCAATACGTATACGTACGGGTATACGTCCATTTCTTTTTTTATACCACAAAGGTGGCAAACAAGCATACAGCCTGTCTGATGAAAAACGATCACTGTAGCCTTTGAATGCCTGCAATACTAGGGCTATCACTTCCGTGTTGTCAACCCTGAAGAAGCCTTAATGCACCCATTTTGAATTATTCCATACTTCAGTTTCTAGGGTAAGCCTAGATAGGGAACTTATTCCACAGCCTGAGCGTTCGCGGGAGAAAATTCCTATAAAAATATTATATCATTGCAAATATCAAACAATCACAATTATGGTCTACCTAATAGTGGTTATTCTAGCCTATGTAAGCCTGTAATATCAGGTTTATTGCGAGTGCCTTGTTTATTTGAAAAAAACTTTTACTCCTGATTTGAAAAACCTCAATCTATCTCTTGAGAAAACCTTGGTTGGGTGCTCATTCCTAACCTAAGAGTTCAGAACCAAAGTAAAACGATAAAACCTCGAAGGTCACGAAATTGTTATGTCTGGACAGCTCTTGATACTTTACCAAGTTTTACTTGACTAGGCTGATTGTGCATGTTCTTTCCATTAGTTTATTCCGGTGTTATTATGTTCTTGTCGGGAACAGTTTCACCCTTATATGGTAGATATTCTACTTATACCAAGCGCTTCACTTCATTATTTCTTATACAAATTACTTATATATAATAATAATAGCGAGCAAACAATAGTGCTATCACATTCGTTTAATATTAGTTCTTTTAAGGCATTATTTAATTGAATTTTTAGCATTGAGTTTGAATTATCGGTCAAGCCAGAAGCCAGGGTTGCCAGTAGTTGCCACACTTGGCAAGCGGGTTGACATGTCGCAGTTAGGCTTTAGTGATGTTTAAAAAGGAACGCTGCTAAACATCCCTCGACCATTATATTTTCTTAGCCTCCTATTACGACACCCACGGGAAAGGAGGGGGTGGTCCATTTTATGCCGGAATGACATGGCAAACATAATATGGATGATATAATAAAAGGACGGTTATCCTGATAAAAGTTTAATAATAATATAATTATTATAATTTTTTACAACTTGTAATAGGCGATTTTCTGAAAAGCTCGTTCTTTAAAAAAGTTAGCTCGTTATTGTTGATGAATTTCTAGAGTCGCTGTTCAGACATTATTGATCTAAGCAAATAATGTTTCACATGGAAAAGAATATTGACTTTTTTATTTCAGACAATCAATATGACGATATGTCGGGCAAAGTTAATAAATTTGTTTTTCAAAATCAGTAATGACTACAAACAAAATATGAAAAAACAGTATTTAGTCTTTTAAATATCACCGAAGCTCTATAAACTTAACAAATTTTACGTCGGTGTCAAATAAACAACGCAATAAGTGTACAAGGTTAAGAATAATGTTATATGCCTAATGTTACACAATATACGTTATGAATAATTTAATTAACTTCTTTGTCACGACTTGATTATCTTCTATAATTCAATATGAAAATCAATTAGAAGCCTTATAATTACAGATTTTTTTCAAATCAAAGGAATGTAGCCTACTCATCTTCAATAGTAATTGCTTGCCATTACGAAAGTTCCATGTATAAAAGTTAAAAAGAATTGATTTAAAATTCGAATCCTCTTAAAATAACTAATAAAATATTTTGTTAAAAATGTACATTAGCGTCCTCTTTATTAATAATCCGTTTGGGCTATTTGTTTTTTATGCAACTTAGAATGGCAATCAAGCTGACGTCCTACCTGATGGAAAGTAGTTGGTAACCGTCGCTTATAGACATAAACAGTACCATAGACATAACAGAATATACTATTTTGCCTATGATACGCCCCATGCGTTGCCTTTTCTAAGGAATAAGGTGTTACGCCTTTGTTCCCTGTAAATTTGCTGCCATATCCCACCTTTAAATTTAAACACAGTCGTGCAAAGACAACTGCTTCACGGTAGAAACACGAACGTGACAAAAGTAACCAAGCAAACGACTTTTATGAAAAATCCCTCTGGTATATATGTTGCTCACTGTTGATTGCAAAATGTTCTAATATAGTAGATATTTTCCTTTTTTCAGTAGTGATGTTTGTTATAGGTGGCCCTACTTAGTGGCGCGGATGAGAGCACGTGCGAGCTGGCGTTCCAGTACGGACGCAACCTCGGTCTCTCGTTCCAATTGGTGGATGACTTGCTGGACTTTGTGTCGTCGGCACAAGCCATGGGCAAACCCACAGCCGCTGACCTCAAACTAGGACTGGCCACTGCTCCTGTATTGTTCGCTTGTGAAAAGGTATATTATATTTTTATGTTTTGATATTATCACAGTGTAAGAAAGGGCCAGTGGTAGAACGTCTTTCGTATGTCTCAAACGAAACTCAAACTCTTATCTGACAATTCGGGATACGTTGCGTTATATAGACGTGTCCGTAATACGACTGTTGGAACGTGTTCTTTAGGCTTACCTCTTATCTATAAAAACTAAAAACTCCTATAAACCTTCTTTAACTATTACTGTGTTTTGTCACTTTCATTCAAATTGAGAATTTAGCACAAAAGCAAGAAACAAAACAGTTTAATAACTAAAGTAGGTTTGACGTTGCTATGAATAAGGGAGTCAGTTGTTAATAATGTGTGTTAATTACTTATAAAATATCTAAATCAGCGTGTTATATAATTAATTAAGTGTATTTTTTATTCTTATAAAAATTATGTTATAAACTTTATTATTTAATTAATGTTTGTATATTAATAAAACAAGCAGTTGTAAGTAATTATAAACAAATCTGTATAAGAAATATACCGCTCATCTTCTATTATTGATTGCTACTTTAGATTTTATCAAGGATTTACTTTATTTTCCATGTAAATAAAATGTAGCTCTAATATTAGTATATATTTTTTTTCTATTTGTAAATAGTATTTGCTAGTAGTAGCAGTATTCGTTGTCTGGCGAATATTTGAATACAAAATATGACGTCCTGATTCGAGGATCAGGTATTGTCTGATTTTGTGCTATTTATTATATATTTAGCTGTATTATTTTATAAAAGGTACAAGGTAGGGACATCTTGCGCAATGTATATTCCGTGATCCCAGGCCCTCTAGACATGTGAGAAGCGAATTCGTCGATGGAATTGACATCTCTAGCGAGTCGTTGTGAGTTGGAATGAGTCATTCGACGTTGCTATTTCTGTCTATCTCACGGATTTGCTAGCAATGTCGATTCCATCGACGAATTCGTTTGCCACTAATAACAGGATATTTGAAGTCTAAAACTCTATTAATTAAACATCGGACCAATTTCAATGTTTAAGAAATACTAATCGGCTAATTAACTTCAATGTTTAATAAAAACTAAACAGCTGTAGCCTATTTCAGTCACTGCGACACACTTGGTGAAAACATATTTCCATACTTTTTCTTTTGTTTTATATTAAAAAAAAGTGTAAATAATTTGATTGTATAAACTCATTTGTTAATTTACGTGTGTCATAAGTGGCTCAAATAAAGTGTTTATCTATCTATCTATCTATTTAATCGGTGATTTCCTTGTTTGTATAGTATCCAGAACTAAATCCGATGATAATGAGGCGATTCCAAGAGGCGGGCGACGTGGAGAAGGCTTTTGAGTTGGTGCACAAGTCGCGAGGACTCGAACAGACACGCTTCCTGGCGCGCAAGCACGGCGCTGAGGCAGCGCGCCTAGCCGCCGAGCTAGCAGACTCTCCCTACCAGAAGGGGCTTGTTGTCACCACCGACCTTGTGCTCAATAGGATCAAATAGCACCTCACCATCCCAACAATAGATAATGTATTCTAAGTGTTCACGGTTCAGGTTCGACCCCATTTTCGGTTTGAACTTCGAATCCACATTTTCAAAGTAATTTTTGGACTACACTCGACTACTCCTAAGAGTACTTTGAAAATATTAGTACCTGTCTTGTGTACCCTTTAGCGGAGTCTAAAGGTTTAGAGACACTACAGTTTTGATGGCCTTCGTTGTGAAGGTGGTAATGTGTGAGACGTAGTAATAAATGAGTATGCAGCGGTTGGGCGGCCGGGCTAGTGCGGCAGTGCGGACGATGTGCCTCGACCTTGTATATGGCGAGATATTATCATAGATATTTTACGTCAAGTTATATGTGCCCTGATAAATATATGCATTATATTCAATATACATATAAAATGTATGTAGTTTTATTACGATATAATCAGTCAGACTGACCTATTGTCGACGTCGCTCGCGCGGCTTATTAAAAATTATATTACGTATAGCATTATGTGTAGTAATTTATACGAAGATATTTGTATGTACCTATCCTTTTTTTTTTATATGTATCCTTAACTTTTGTGACCTGATTTATTTTAAGATTTTCCATGAGAATACTTTAAATATCTTGTACTATCTACGATTATTATAAAAAGATGCTCGTAAGCGTGTACATGACAACTCGTTACCAAATACCACTGTACATGTGTACAATATGCTCAATTGTTATTTGTGTCTGATATATACTCTTGTGTCACTGAGTAATCTGTTGTCACATGATAATGTACATAAAGAGTATAATAATCCTTTCTATATCTTCGTTCCTTTATGTTTGTATCGTGCAATTTTATAGGTCTAGTGTTAGAAGTACCTGTGTTCAGTGCACAAAAAGCATTCATCAATCATTCAAAATAGTGTTCATGACGAAATTTTAACAGTGTAGATATCTCCTGCTCGAGTTCGGCTGTTCGTTGTTATACGTGTAAATAAATACTGGAGTCATTGGATAAGTTACCCAAGTTTTATTTTCAAAACCAATTACCTCAATTTCTTTAGTGTACACATACTAGTGGTGTATTTGCTCTGTTATAGAATTAAATTGTAGGTTTTATTAGGCCGCACAATATTTAGGAAAAAATTGTTAAAGCCGTTAGAAATTAATAAAGGAATGATATTAGTTAAATTTATATATACAGAATGAAATCAAAATTATTCACAGCCTTTTAAGGGAGTGTTCTATTAATGAAACTGAACATTTTTTTCATTAGCGAAAGAAACATGGGTTGGAAATCGACAAAACAATTTGAGCCTTTCATACGAACTTGACAATTGTTGCGCACATATACTAAATTATTATTATATAAAATGACAAACATTTTATTACATCCTTGTTTTAAATGGTAAAATGTTATCTTTCATCAGTAAAACACTCCCTAAAAAGGATATAAACGATTTTGATTTAACTCTGTTCTAGTATTTGTAAATAATCGAAATTTTTCAGTGTTACTGACAAAAAAAATATCGAGGTATGGTAGGATACCTAACATGCACCAATAGCGCAGTATTTTAATACTTTTTCTTAAAGTTCTAATTTTAAATAAAATATTAGTCACTAATAAGGTAACATAGGGTAAAGCTGGAATAATGTCTGGCGCCAAAAGTCGTGGGTTTTGGTTTTATGAAACTATAAGGAAAACAAATATAAATAAGTGGCTCACCGTAGATTCCTGTAGTTTTATGAAACCGAATTTACATTTCTTTTAACAATGATACATCACCAAATATCTTTAATGTATGAACAAAATTTTTGTATAATAATAAAACTCCTAAAGGTGATTGTCAGCTTCAATGGATTGAATAGTTTGTTTTTGTACATTAAATGTAATGAAAATGGGAGTCAATGAATTTTATTTATATATTGTGTAGCCTTGTACGTAGTCCGTATCATTTGTAAATATTGTACTCTGTAAAATGCTAAATCATGAATAATTTTTAATATAAATATTAGTTACAAAATATTGTTTTATTTAATTTTGCCATTGTGGCTGTTCACCCCAATATATTACGGATGCATTCACGCATCAGTAATATATTGGGAAGCTAAAGTACTGAGTTAGATGATTATAAGCGTTATATTTGATTTAGTTGAAGTCTTAGTAAATGCGATATCGTGACTCGTCAATAAATGGCGTTTCCTCGTGTGCAGTTTCGTGTTAAGAAGGTAAAATACAGTATATCCTACGAATTGAATTGTCTTATTTTGTTGTTGCTTTCTACATGTTGAAAAAGTAGGAACTACAATCGATGCTAGTATCTCACTTTTATTTATTTATTTATTCTTTATTGACCACATTACAAAAAATGTCTGGTACAAAAGGCGGACTTAATACTATATAGCATTCTCTCCCAGTCAACCTTTGGCTGACTTTTATTTTTATTAGAGATATATTTTATTATGCGGTGAAAAAAATTACAACACATACAATTATGTAACTACATTATTTTCATAACTAGAGTATATTACTAGCAATGAGACCCCATAACTAACAACCTTTAAACCCCGCCCCCCCCCCCCCCCACCTTGCGTGAAAGTGTCACCATTCCTTTTCACTCCTAGGAAGTTAAAGAGGCGGCTACAGGGTATAGCATTATATATTGGTACAAAAGTCTGTTTTATGGTTTAAAAATGACGTAAAGTTGCTATATGACACGAAAAAATGGAGTATGAATATATAAAAATTAAAATACATAGTATGTTTCCTTGTAGTCCAATAGGTATGCACGATAACGTAAGTACTTTATACATATGTCTATGCACAATAAATTATTATTATTATTATTGAATTAGGATCCATTAAGACGTAGTAGTGTGTTGATCAGATAACCCGACAGCTTATTTGTTAATCCATGTTAATTTTGATTTGACTTTATATGCTGAGAGGTCCTTATATAAAAAAACTTCGAAGATAGGTGGGGGATATTTATTTTTATGTCTTTATATATTTTCAAGGCATTTTTTTCTATGCACAACCACGCTTTGGAATCAGGTTCCAGCAGCTGTATTTCCGAACCGATACGACATTGCAATCTTCGAGAATAGAAAACAGCATATTATTCCTTTTTAAAAGGTTTTTTTTACAACACAGGGGGCAAACGAGCATCGGCTCACCTGATGGTAAGTGACTACCGCCGCCCATGATCATCCACAACACCTACGGCATTGCAGGTGTGCTGCCGGCCTTTTAAAAAGGAATATGCTCTTTTCTTGAAGGTTATGTTGTCGTATCGGTTTGGAAATACTGCTGCTGGCAGTTGATTCCAAAGAATGGTTGTGCGTGGGAGAAAGTGCCTTGAAAAACGCACGGTGGTGGGCCGCCACTCGTCCAGAGGGTTGGGATGAAATTTTAGTTTATGGCGGGTTGTACGATGGTGAAAATCAGTAGCAGGTATCAATCCGAACAATTCTTCAGAGCACTGCCCATGACAAATTCGGTAGAAGATGCACAGAGATGCAACATCTTTATGCAGTTTCAGTGAGTCGAGTCGGACAGTAAGGCGCCAATCGTCAACAATTCGAGCTGCCCGACTTTGAATGCGGTCTAACGGAAGGCGTTGGTACTGTGGCGCTCCTGCCTACAGGTGAGAACAGTTTTCCATACGTGGCCTTACTTGAGCTTTATACAGTTTCAGGCGGTGTTCCGGCGTGAAATACCGTATTACCCTATTGAGTTCCCCCAACTTTTTGGAAGCTATCTTAGCTTTTTCCTCCAAATGACCGCAAAACTGGTCGTCGCTAGATACACTGACGCCAAGAATTTCCACTCGACTTATTATCGAGGGAAGTGCCCTGAAAGTGAGGAGATACGACAAAGGGCGTCTTTTTTGCGGTGAACGCGCAGACTTGTGTCTTCTTAGGGTTGAAGTGTACAAGATTGCATTCGCCCCAGATCGAAACTTGATCGAGTGAAGTTTCGATTTCAGAAATTTGTGTATCACTTTTTTCTTTTGTTAGTTTTTTTTTTAATATTATTTGTTAAAGAACCTCAAAAATACATTATATTATTCTTTGTTCGTTAGCGTTCAGATAAGTAATACACAAAAACACCAAAGCTCGAACAAGTATACATCAAACAATTATATTGCAAATATGTTGATATGAATTTTAACAAAATTATCATCTGTTCATTTTCATATTATGCTTCCATTCAACATTGCAGCATAAGGCCAGTTTAAAGGTACGGATGTCTGCTAAATAACGAAGGTCACATGTACGCGTTGCCTACCTTCCTTTTTTAAAAGGAGAAAGATGAATATAGCGTCATTTTGATACGAACTACAACGTGACCTATTTCCGTAGAAATAACTTACTTTTCTTGGTATGTGTATGAATGCAATAGGAGTTTATCCTGCGTGTTGAGCTTGTTTGCGACGATCGATTGCCCGCGCCCGGCACCGCCAGTACGAGTCGAATGCCAACTGAAAAATGACAGGTATATAACAAGTATGTTTAAGTAAAAGTACGTACATATTCTATGAGTACTTTTTTAAGCTGATAAGTCGTTTAGTGTTGTGGTTTGATTAAAATTGTCTAGCGATGGAATTTATGGTGTTTATAATTTGGAACATATAATTATGTTATGTGGAAGTAAATGTAGAGTGTATATATATATATATATATATATATATATATATATATATATATATATATATATATATATATATATATATATATATTCTTAAAAACTACTGAAGTTTTTTATGGGCTATTTATTATGGGTTATCTATTTTTTATTTTTTTAAAAGATCTCTAACAAAGCTAAGAGAAACAGTCACCAGACGCAGCTAATCGATTTTTAATGTAACTAATCTAAAATTTGCACTACTATGAAACATCAGCGTATAAACTGCAATAACAAATAAATACCTTAGGCCTTAGGAAGAAATTGCATAAGAGATACTGTAATATTCATGGTGCTATACATATCTATATGTATTATTATTATATTATTATCTATATTGTAATATCGGTGACGGTTACCACATTTCATCAATTGTGGGATACTTAGATATTTCTCATGCCTACTTGTAAATTTTTTTTATATACATATCAACATAAGTTCATCTCGTATACTCTTGATGTTTTAAATTCGTCTAGTTAATGGAATGCAATCTACGTAGCTACTAGTACAACTTATTTACAAGTACATACGGTTTTTTTTTGTTAGATGAAAATGGTATGGCAACCCCATCCGCGCCAACGGGATACGCTGACGGTGCACCAATGAAGGGTGATCGATAAGAATGAAAACAGGCCAGTTAGCCTATCATGATGAATTCATCATGAAGAATTAATCATGATAGTTTTCACGGGGAACCGCGTGGAGATCGACCTGGTTAGGTATATTGCTAGCAATGGGATTTTTAGTCTCCATTACTAACAATACCTTTCCCCCCAACAAAGTACATACGGATTAGCCTATTGAAACATAAGAACGTGACCTCACCCCATTCTCGTGCGGGATATCACTGTAGATATATATGTAAATTGGCAAATATGCGAATAAATATACCTTTCCCTCTAATATCGATTAAAGATAAAATACGCTCGACCTTTTTGTTGGGTTTTTATAAGCATGGAATATTGACATTTATGTAATTTAATCGATAGTTGAGTAATCTCTTAGTGATGATCTTTTATTAAAATTTTAGTGTTTTGTCTATATCATTTTTGTTACCATTACAAGTAGATATACCTTTGATTACAGACTATAGTCCTTAATGTAGTCTAGACTGTTACTATGTTATTATAATAACATAGTTACCCATTATAATGTGTTAGTCGAAAAAAGGTTTAAGACATAAAAAAATTCATCAATTTCTCTACAAAAGAACAAATGTATGACCTAGTTTGCTGTTATTTATCTAGCTTACCTATTCAAGTCGAACCTACTAACATTTTTACTTCTACAATAGACTATGATTTGACAAGTTTTTGAGTATCCAATATTTGATTGAACAAATATCAGAAGTAGATTTGCCGCGCTACAGTAAAAGTGTCTTAAAAGTGATATTTTTGAGTGTAAATAATATATAGGTATAATTTTAATATTTAGAAATTTAAGTATATATTTCTACAAATAATTTTCTAATATAGATTATCATAATATTTGTATTTCAATTTACTGTCTTATTGAAAAATGTTTTATTATTTATACATGCGACTTGATTCAAAACGTTCTTCTCAGGCATATTTATAAAATGTACGATCGCGTGTTTAAATTTACATTTTTCAATAAAGTGAGTGGAACAAAGTATAAATATTTTAAATAATATTCTATAATCGCTATAATGACGTTTCATCAAGAAGTCTCAATACAAACAATAAATTTTAATTTTCTAATAGATTAATAAATTGAGATAGGTATCTATCAATCTAGCTACTCAATGAAGTGGAAGCAATTGGTAAGCTAAAATTATATATAATTGAAAATTACTATTGAAAGTGCAAGGCTGTTTAATTCATGAATTAGTAATATATGTAAAAGTTCAGTAGGCAAGCCATCAACTATCCTAAAATATAGTCATGAAAGTTTCCATTATTTGCCGATCTCATATGAATATTCTTTAACTTTATATTCATATGACATTAACAAAAACTATTGAGTAGTTTTTGCCGATCTCATATTAGTAGTAGCAGCAATAATTGTAATAAATATAAATATTAGATATTTAAGACTAAATGTTAATAAAATTGGTTTTTTTTTTTTTATTATACATTTATGAGTCTTGTTTTATGTATGACTCCACTCATATACTTGTATATGGCAGTGAATGAAGTTTATTTAAAATGATAAACGAAATCGGTTTGATAACAAATCGATACAATATAGCTTTATTACAAAAATAATAAATATTATTCTTCCTCCTCCTCTAGTTTTTAGCTCACTACTGAAAGTGAAGTGAAATTCTGAGCGATTTCTTTCCATCTTTTGTGATCTGTAGCATATTAAAAGTAGTTGGATATCTTCATATTCTTATAGCTGCTTCGTTACTTGGTTAGACCATTGTATTGGACTTTCGTCTTCTATCTTTTTCCTTCTACTTTTCAATAATTATCAGTTTATCCAGATTGTTCTCATGTCCAGAAAGTGCTGCAACACTTTTTCAAGCATATACTGGAAAGCACTTGGTCAATAGCTTCTTGAGGATGGATGCTTTGGTTTTCTGAGTTGCTCATAGTACCTATTTGTACCATGCGTCTCCAGCACCATATTTTTAACGTATGAATGCGTCGCCACTTCGTCATCTTTTCAGTCCGTGACTCTACGCCATATAAGAGAATGAAATAGACAATTGTCCTGGCGATGTATTGTGCTATGATCTTCCAACAATTTTCCTAATGTACATCGCTGCTTTTGTAATGCCGATATTTCGTTGGGTTACCTTTTATGAGCTGCCTTCATTAGATGTATTAGACCCCAGGTATACAAAATCCTAAACTATACCGTATTGACTGAGCAAGTACACTTCTTGATCTTTAGAAGAGTATTAATTCTGTTGATGACCATCGATTAGGTTTTAGTTTTGTTGATTTTGAAATATCATCATGTTTGTTATATATTATTTCTAATATTGTTGTGTTCATGTAAATGATAATGTATTAATATTATCCTTATAATAAATATATACAATTAAATTTTTCGTGTCGTATCGTAAAAATATATGGACACGTTGAACGAAGCGTTCCAGTTAAGCGATTTTCAGCGGTGGGTCGTTTTAGAAGTTCGCAGTTGTCACGGAACAGTCGTGAAGTCACTGCAGGATGAGACTATACAATGATTTGTTTTAATGTTTGCACGCTTCCACTATTAATTATACGAATATGTTATGTAATTACCTGTTTTGTGATAGTAAGTTCTTTGTTAGGTTAAGTGAAATTGTAGTTTAAATGTTTACACTTCACTCGCAACGATTGCGTAGGTAAGATTTGTGTTTGGCAGTGCCAACATTCCTCATGTACATTGAAGTTGTATTTATGAATTAAGAAATATTAGTATTCGGATTATAATTATACCTAAGTTATAATCCGAATACTATTTACTTGTAGGCACATATAGAACAATGTTTACTAAAATATTGATGGAGTTTTACGGAAATGCATGAGTTTTTATATTGATTTTAGGAGGTTAAGTGCTCCAACATCTGGCTCCGCTCGTCGGAGAGCCAGGGAGCGTCGTAGAGCAGAACAGACTCGTGAGGAAGGGGAACGGTTAGCGCGTGAGCGACGTGAGAATAGAGCCAGGGAGAAACTCGAGCAACAGCGGCAGGTACAAACTTATGATAACTGTTTTTCTTTTCAGACACTATATGGAATCATCTGCATGGGTACTTCTGTCTTTTTTTTTTATACAACTTAGAATGGCAAACAAGCTGACGGCCCACCTGATGGAAAGTGGTAACCGTCGCCTATAGACATGAGCAGTACCATGGACATAACAGAGTATAGTGTTTCGCCCATGATTCCCCCACATGCGTTGCCATTCCTGAGGACTCAGGTGTTATTCCTCTGTACCCTGTAAATTCACACCATATCTCACCTTTCAAACTGAAACATAGCCATGCAAATACAACTGCTTTATGGTTGAAACACGAATGGGATAGAGGTGCCCAAGAAAAACTTTTGTATAAACATATTAAATCTTTTTATATGATTAAATTCTGTTCTGGATTGAAATGATGTGATAGTGAAATTACTAAGGGGGTAATCCAAACATCGAAAATTCTTAAATGATTATCCTTCCATACAGACATAGAATATACCACCCCTTCCTTTTCCGTCGGTGACCTAAGAGGCGATTAAGGGAATTCTATAGTCGAGGGATGGGCAGTAGCGTCCCTCTTAAAACACCATCAGAGTTTAACTACGGTTGCCAACCTGCCTGCCAAGCTGGCAATTACTGACAAAACCTCCTTTTGTGGGGAAGGCTTATGCTCAGCAGTGGACAGTAAACGGCTAATATAGTGATTGGCTGTTTATCGTCAATAGGTGAAGCTTATGTTCAAAGGCGGATTAAATGTCGAGAGTGCCCTACGCAAGCATCCTATCGGCGCAAAAATATGGCACAGGGCATATATTATTATAAATTTTATTATAATTAGTACCAATAACAGTAAATATTGGTGACTGAAGTTATGAATTATTTATTTAAAAATTGATACTTATCCCATTCAATGGCAATCGTTAAATAAATAAAATTGGAAGTTTCTGCGTCTACATTTTTGTCTTGCGAAATTGTCAATATCATCATTAAATTCAATGTTAAGTATTGCTAACGATTTTAATCTCTTATCTGTCATGGTTGAAGTCGAAGATAATTTTTCACTCTCTTAAACACAGGACAAATTCCGCTCACGACTGCAATTGCTGACTGCCGGTGATATGCACGATCTTAAGGCTATATCAATATTTAAGTAAATTGTATAAATATTTTTATATTATGTAAGGTGCATAGGTACTTAGTGAGACAAATAATTTTGTTTTTTTTTTCTTTGTTTAAAAATTCCTCGTTCTCGCCCCTTTAGTCTGCTTTAGGGATAATCCGCATCTGCTTAAGATTGATTGCTAGACTCGTTATTATATTATTATTAATTAATATTCAAATCGTCTTTTAAAATATTTGGCGCTTACTACCTGTTTATCAAAAACTTGATTCTAAGTCGGGCATGGGTTTTTTATTCATATTAAAACTGTCAGGACGGTAAAACTTTCTATATTTTCCTATAGATCTGTAACTTTGTTGAGTTTGTAACGTGAACGTATGTTATATTTACATATTAAGTATTATGCAACGTGAAAACACCTAATACTTGTTAAAGAAAATGACATAAACAGCCAATTGTGTATTTTCTAAATGCGGCAGAGAAAGCTGTATGTATAGGTACTTAAATAGGTGACAACAATTTCCCTATGTATATAAACCTATGAACAATTGGTAAAACCACATATTTTATTACCGCAGTCTGTATTTTTAAGAGTTAGAAAGTCTAAAAACAATTTTAGATAGATCTAGGATACATAATAATATAGATGTACTTTAATTTGCTGTAAAAGTTATGGGTAAATTTTGTGTTTACTGTGTCTACTAGATATCAATAAAATTATAAAAGTTATACAGCATACTTGAAGCTAGGATAATGTCGAGCTCGGTGATAAACTATATTTTTTATTTGTATTTGTATTTAACAAAATTACCCATAAATTATTCTCATGTTACAATAAGCCTTTGCCCTGTCGTGTAGATGTCCTATGTTAGATACATGACGAGAAGTAGGCGGTGACGGCGAGTACAAAGGCGCCAACATACCTGCACTTGTCATCAATGTTTCATAATAAATGTACGCAAGCCAAATCGGTAATAGTTCATGTCAGAATGAGTAATGAACAAAGTTATGGTAAGTAAATTAACTATGAATATAATAATGTAGTAATGGTACAGTATGTTGTATTTTATTAACTTAGGAGTGGTAACATGTGACCTGTCCACGTCTTCGAAGTGTATTTAGCATTCGCCCCTACATACTTTCATTGACACTGAAAAGGCCATTTGTGGTCTAAACTATTCGAAAAAGGAATTATCTCTGTTACCGTATGGAATTATGACCTAAATTTAGACAAAAGGTGTTCGGCGAAATGGAGGTACTGCCTATTGTAACAAAAGTTACCACAACAGTAACAATTATTACAATGCCCCTAATTTCTTCATCTAACACTAAAAGTTTCAAGGTAAATGACCCTGAATGTAGTTATAAAATCACATGTTTTTGTAATTACATTTCAACAAGATCAATTAATTGTAAAATCAGGAAATAAAATGTGATGGTATTGATTTCAAAACGGAGTTTTTATTTACTCGCAATATAGTTCTTAAGCATAAAATAGGTATCTAAAATTACGTTTTTTTTCTAACGATATCATAGTCTATATTGATCTTAAAAATGACATAGGTACATGTGCATATTTATATTGTACACCCAGTTAATTCAAATCTTATACGCCTATATTATGTAGTTTGCAACTTGTCAATCAATGGCTAGAAAGCACCTACTCGTACGAGTATGTAACAATTCTTGGCTGACGCCAAATTCTTGCGTCACTCATTTTTCATTGATAATTTTTAGGAAATTACCCTCTTGTAGCGTATGTTGTGGACAATTCTTAGAAGAGGATTTGTCAATGACTCTTTTTGTTTTATTAACATTTACATGTAGATAATATTTACAGTACATAATTTAGAAAGAATTGTCACGGGAGTAGGTAGCTAAGTAACATTTGGAAAAGCCTGCGTTGTTGTTTTAGCAGATATTAACACCACGTCTTTCAAGACGTGGTGTTGATATTATGGAGTAGGTGCTCTCAAAGTTCACATGTGCTACGTTGCTGTTTTGTTTAGAAACTTAGAGGGCATGGCAATAAAATTGGCAATAGCGAAAGTGGATACAAAGGCACAACATCCTCAGGAAAGGGCAATAAATGAATCTTGCTATTGCAGACGGCTTCGTATAGAATATTCTTCGTTTATAAAAAACGGCTAATAAAAATTAAAAAAAAACAAATACTGATATTTATTCATTTGCAGGCCCGCGAAGAGCTGGCGTCATATGAACCGTGGGGCCGCGCAGGCGGCGGAGCGCCCAATCCACAAGGAGTGAGGTTTTCTAATATACGTGCAAGAGGAATTTATCCTGAAGATGAACTAAGGGTAATTCAATATTAGTTTGTAACATTAACATAAAGTTGTTTAAAAAGGTAGATCTTCTTACATAATAAAATAATGGAGTACTTCGAAGGCAAATTAACCAATAGTCTTGATTTTTATTTTTATCGAAGTTAGATAATATTCATAAATATGCGAGTAGTTCAAATTGAAACGAGCTTATGTATAAATAACTGGACTTCCGCTGCGACTTCGCTTGAATGTTAGTGCAGATTTTTTTGGATATTTGTAAATTGTAATATACTATTTTATTCTCGTTAAGATCTTATGTTAATATTTTTTATAATTTTTTTTTATACGGCAAAGGTGGCAGATAATAAAATATTAATAGAATTATTAATAGTTGTCAATATTTATTATTGAAATCGTAGAATTATTTTTTATTTTATATAACTTATATGGCAAGGCAAAATGCTTATTAACAGTCTTCAGTTTTTTGTGTTAAAAACACAATAACATATAGCTAATAGCATCTATTATAATATATAAATGGCGTATCATATCGCGACTTTCACTTAATTATGTACCCATCTAATGTGATTTTACTTGATTGACGTTGGAAGGACAGCCATTGAGAATTTTGATATGGTATTGTTGAAGTAGTCGCTCTTTTCACTGCTTGAAGATTGATAGAAATGAAATTGTTTGATTATTTAGATGTAATTGGTAAATAGTTTAATAAATTTGCTACAGATTATCAATAACCTGTAGCAAATTTATTAAACTTTTTTACCAATTATTGATATTTTTTTTTACATTATTAATATTTTTTATTTAAATAACATTTAACATTTACCTAAAATTTAGATTTTTAGGTTCCTAATTATATTGTCTATTTTTATTGTTCTTCATAAAACAAATATCATGTTACCTAGTGACCTAGTTTTATACATAGTTAAGCTGTAATTAAGTGTCAATTAAACAGTATCGTGTATGATCAATCTGTGAACTAAATTCCATTCAATTTCATTCAGTTATTAAGTGTGATTGAGTAAGAAACATGTGACATACATTTAGACCTTATTGCTACAACTGTTCCTTAAACTTGAATACACTACTTCTCTATGCACATAAGGAACATTTAAAAATTCAATCCGGATCTTCAATTAGGTACAGAAATCAACCCACATGCCTATCACTCAGTCGGGCAGGAGATCGTCAACATACAAAGCGGAGATGAGGTCAAATATTCTCCATGAATATTATTACATACTATATGTATATTTATTTAAACATTTTTTTAAATATTAATCTACAACTAGGATATAGTCCGTTATATTATTATTGTGACTTTTTACATCGTACATTTTCATTTTAAAATGCAATTATTTCACATTATTTTAACTTAAGTTGAAGCGTACCATAAATATTGTATTTACGAATTCCTTTTCTAGTTCTATTGTGGAAATTTAGTCAATATTTATACTTCTCTACTATACCTATTATAAAGAGAAAAGTCCTGACTGTGTGACTAATCAACACACAGCCAAAACTACTAAAGTTAAAATAACCAAATGTAATATAATTTTTTTTTATGACCTACATAAGTAATAAGAAAAGATTTTTCAAAATTCGGCTACTAAGAGTGTGTAGAAGGGTGGAAGTTTGTATGGAATTACTTTTATAACCCATAAATATTTGAACCCATAAATACTCTTAATGGAAAAAATAACATAAATTATCTTTTGAGAAATTATTATAAGACACATGACAATGAAACGTTTATTGGGTTGTCAAAAATGTTAAAATAAGGAATTCTGTATGTTTCGTGTTACTGCTAAACAGAAAAAATAAAGTTTGTCTTGGTCTGATTATTTTTGATTTAGCGATCTTTAACGGTATAATTAATGTTTATTGTTCGTAACTACTTAATGAAAAATATTAAGTTGATGCAATAAATCTATATAAGGTGTAGGGTCAATCATATTACCACCCATTAAGGTGGGACTGGCAAAGAATGATGCAATGAAGACGAACGTGCGAAACACTGGCCTTTACCTCATAAAGAATATGAAATTTGTTGACACACATTACAAGTTTTATGGCTTTTTTCCAAAGACGAAAGTTCTGAGCTTGCATTGTGATGTTTAATCTTCATATTACATAAACAACAAGTATTGATGGGTTGGCATTTATGTTACAAGTATTTTCGCGATTTATTCTGCGAAGTATGTTAAATTGGGTGTATTTTTGTCTTATTTGCCGTGGTCTTGTAAGTTATCTTTTTTAAATTATTACAAATATACGAGTAGTTTCAAATGGACATTATGTAAAACTTTGTTTTGGTATTAATTAAAGTAGGTATATATTTTTCAGAATATAAATAAGATACTTACCTATTTTTTTAGTATTGGTATATATTATTATTAACATAGTAGATATTTTAATATAATTAAATTGTAACTATACTTTTATTACCTAATTATGAAAAAATATATAGTTATTACAATTTACATTAACAAATTTGTATTATGTCTGTCTATATGGCCCACCCATGAGAAGTAGTTCATTATACTCATAGATATGAACAATATCAGGGATTTCACAAAAAATATAACATTGTTCATGACAACCTTATTATACTGTTACTTTTGAAGACTAATGCCTCTTGTATCATAGACATAGATTGCGCTGGCTTGCCTAACGTACCAAAATATAACAATACACTCTGTTTTAGAAATAGGTAAGTCGGTGACCAGGCGAGTTATATAAATTCTATTATCAATAATGTCTATTTACTTATACACTTTAGGTTCATTATATCAGATTGAAATATTTAATATTGATGCAATAAATTCTTGAATTCATTTTATTTTATTAAATTCATTTTATGGTATTATGGCAGGGTGTATCTCAGTACGAACCTTGTTATCGTTGGCCAACGACACCGAGGCGTATTACACGTCGTACACCACTGCGACTACGTGAAGATCCTCAGCTATGCTTTGCAGACAACTTGCGCCGGAGCGTTGATAATGACATTCGTTACAAACAAACTCCTGATCAGCAGCAGAGTTACAAACAGGTTTTAGGTCAGTATCCCATTAGCGCATAATTATTTTAGGTGCTTTTTCTTGGTTACGTAAGATATGATCAATAAAGAATACCTACAGTTATTTTTACTCATATTATTGCATTTATTAATATGTTTTTTATGAGTTTAATTTTACTTATCATTTCAGATGATATGGTTAATAAAAGAAAAAAAGCTGTAAAAGATGAATTAAGAAAAAAATTGGAATACGAGCGCAAAATGGTAAAAATATAAGTAATTAAATTAAATTAATTAAAGAAATGTAACTAACTAATTAAAGGAAGAATTTCTGTTATCATCATATCAGTCTTTAACTGTTTACTGCTGAACATAACCCGGGGAGGCTTGGGAGGTTTGCCAGTAGTTGCCATGCTTGGCAGGCAGATTGGCAACCACAGTCAGGCTTTAGAGTTGAATTAAGAGGGACGCTGCTGCCCATTCCTCACTCTCCCTTAGTTGCCTCTTAGGACCCTTACGGAAAAAGAAGGGGTGGACCTATTTTATGCCGAAACCACAAGGCATTGTGTTATAATGTTACATAGTAATTAGACAAAGTTTGTTTTGTTTTGGGTCTACAAGCATTTTGTTTTATAAAACAATTTCTTTGTTTGCCTTTTGGGTTAACAATTTTTTTTCCTTTACGAATGTAATTAATAATGAAATCACATAATTATTATTGAAATTACAGCACAACATGGAAGGACCATGGGGTAGACCGGGTCCTGGAGGAACGACTTGGAGGAACCCTCGTGATGTTGGATTAAATTTCACAAAGTCTATGGTATTAACATATATGAACTATGGAATATTTTAGTGAGTGACATATTATCAATTTCCTTTGCCTTTCAGGGTTGGACAGACAATGAAACTTTTAATAAAATGAAAGGGGATCATAAGCGCTATAAAAGATCTTCGCTTACTTTACCTCAAGTAAAGAGAGATGATGATTTGAAAGAAAATAACCCACCAGAAGCCGAAAACATAAAATCTTCAAACGTTGATAAATTGCCCGATATAAACCATACGAATAGTGCTAATGGACAGACACAAGAAGAAAAAGAAAAGAAATGTGAAAATGACTTAACAAAAGTTAATGGGACAATCGTAAAATCTACTAATGGTAACAATAGCAAAGGAAAACGGAGTCCAACAAAAAAATTTGTCAAAAGATTATCTAACGGTGATAGAGTGATGCGGACCGTGCCTGACGAAGATCATGAAACGAGACCTTCTAAAAATGGTGAATCAGTCCAATTATTGGAAAAAAAATCAACTCCTGAAGCGTCGATTTTAAAATTAACGGGAGGGATCGAATTGGTGCCACTTTTTGCGAGAAGAAGAAGAGTTGGTGCTCGTACTTTGCCTTCTAGTGATGTCACGCGACCACCCGAACAATATTGTCAGTATGTATCTAAAAATTTTAATTTTTGGAGAAAATACAAATATGTATTACCATTTTGAACTTATATTTAAAAAATAGTAAATAAATTAACTTAAACAATGAAAATCCTTTGACATAACAATTTATTCAGTCGTTAGATCAGTGTGTAAACTCTATTAGCTTAACAAGAAGTTTTCCATTACTTATGTAACCAAATATATATGTGTTTATATTGTGATAAATGCATTATGACCAAGGTAAGTTGAAGAATAATAGTCTTATAATTTCAAGAGGTCATGGCACCTGACCCTTTTTAGAAAAATATTAAATATGCAGTGACAAATAGTATTTAACTATTATAACACCGAATAGATTTTTTTAAAACATTGACATATGCATATTGTGAATCGGTAGTATAGATAAGCATTGTATTATGTAGATAATATTCTAAAAAATTAAAAATACATTTCGAAACCCGCTTAATTTAAAATTATATACCATATTAGCCGTTTACTGTCCACTGCTAAAAATAGGCCTCCCCCTGTTGGTGGGTTTGCCAGTAGTTACCACGTTTGGCAGGCAGGTTGTCAACCGCATTTAGGCTTTGGTGGTGTTTTAAGAGGAACGTTGCTGCCTATTTTTCAACCATTAAATTCTCTTAGTCGTCTCTTACGATACCGACGAGAAGGAAAGGGGTGGCTCAATTCATACTGGCACCACACGGTTACTTCTTGCATAAAAGTTTACAATTTATTTCTATTTAAACCTCATTTTAAATTTCATTTGGGAGTATTTACTCGACATCGAACGTAACAGTGATGTTATTGCTTCTTTATATAACAATTTTAAAACATCACTGTCTCATATTGTTCATAAAATATTTTGTAAAATTTAATGAAAACATTAAAGTTCACATTTTTGGCAGTATTGAGGAATCTGTTTTAGTCATTGATGTATATATTTCGTAGATCTTGAGCGTCCGTATTTTGATTTAAATAAAGAAATTTAGTATATATCTTATTTAAATCGAATTAACAATCATTTATATTGAATATGGCTCTCAGATATTATCTAATAGTCTAATATATAAAAGAATCTTAGGTTATCGACACTGCTCAGTCGGCCACGTTCCACAATCATCGAAGCCTCTGTTGCGTCATCGCTTTCTATCGACAGTGCCATATGACATAAAGATTTACGCGTTTCATTAGCCCCATAACAACTATCTGACAAAACGGACACTAACATTCATTGATAATAACCGTTGACGCTACAGAGATAGGTACCGACTAAATTAACTTACCACTTATCACTGTTTATATCTACAGTGATAAGTACCTAGTTAACTCGGGAATTTATTGCATATATTATTGTTTGTTGTGAACCATGACCTTATAGTGTTTGTCGTTAGATCTCACAGTGGAATGAAGTATTGTTTCTAATTTTGTTGCGTTCTATAATAATAATTTTAAATAATTCTTATTCAAGTAAGCTTAATATATGTATTTTTTTTAATAGTATTTTTTTATGAATCTACCGCCTAGTTCGTAATGCAATTTTGGCTAAGAAGAACGGGCAGGAATCACAGCAGTTGTTTATTTTTAAATAACAGTTAAGTTTACAATAAAAAAATTGAATGAACACACTTATGTATTGCTAAAAAAAATCTATCACAATATTTTTGAACACTGAGGTCTTACTAATTAAACATCTAATTCATGCTTGTTACGTATAATCATTCTTATAAGAGGCCTTTTTACAGGTGGCGTGAAATATTAAATGTTGACTATCTAAGAGAATTAAAACATCAAATGCGAGTAAAAAGTGAGCAGAAAGAGGTGAGAGTCTAAATTAAGATGTTACCGATTTCATAATCAGTTGATGTAATGATGGATAAATAACGATCACTTTTATTTATAAAGGTCAAAAATATGTTAAAACTTATAATAAATAGTTAATTAGTTACGTACTCGTTTATGGACGAATATATCTATTATACATCGTTATGTATTTGAAGACAAATGAAAAATCATTCTGATGATCCACAGTTCATTAGGTTTAATATTAAAATATTTTTTTATATTAGTCAGAATAGTATTACTAATAGTAAATGTGGTAATCGTTACTTACTTATATGTATAAAGAACAATATATTGTATTATTCATTGCATCTATCACACGTTGCTACTCTTAAGGATTCTATTACATCTATTGTTACAGACATAGAAGCCGTTAATACCTCGATTTATCTGCTTGACGTTACCAAAGCAATTTATTGATAACAAACTCCCTCCCACATCCTTTCACATTTTGCAATATTGTTTTTCTAAATTCTTAAATTTTGTTTTTCGGTAATTTTAGAATTTTGTTCTAATAAACAGGTTTTGGTATTATTACCTTCTTTCACCGGCTACAAAGTGAAATATCGTTAAGATTATTAATATAACAAAGATTGCTTGGAACAATCGCTTTTAGCGATAAGATCGCACATTGTTTTCCCAGTGTGACATTTTCTTGTAATTATTTGTATTTATAATAAGTTTACTACTGAAATTTTTTTAATGATAATAAAAAATATCTATAAGTGTATAACAAATAAGGTACTATAATCAAAATTTTCTTGTTGCAGGAGAGTCGTCGTGATTCAGCGGAGAGTGTTCGCAGGCACCATGAAACTTGGGCTTCGCTGTGGGGAAGGCCCGGTCATGGTGCCCCACAACGTGGACGATATGCTAGAAGTAACCTCGCTCAATTGCTCTACGTTACACCTATAGCCAATGGGCGTTAATAATTATTGACACTAATGCCTCGAAAGCAACAATTATCTTGTTTTATGTATCATAGTTCTGTCAGTTCCATAAAATAACTTATTGGTGTTAAAGCACCTTCACAGTAACATTACCTAATAGTGGCATTTTATTAGAAAATACGCAAACCACAATAATAGTTATTATGAGAATTTCGTCAAAATTTACAACTTATTACTTTTAGACGTATAGCTAATGGACCAATCCACCAAAATAGGTTTTAATGTGTGTATAAATATATAATCAGTAGGCATTTGGATGTATTTCATTTTGTCAGACATTTAGATACTTATATGTACCTAAAATTTAATGACAAGTTTTAGAAAAATAAAATAGTATGCAGATACTTTTTATAAAAAATTAAGTATAACAATTATGTAGTCACATTGTAATGTATAGCTTAAATAAGTAAATACTCGTATTTATACAAGATAGCTAATAGGCAATTAGATAAATTTATACTGGCGCTACGGCGTAAAGATATTAATGATGGTAAGTGCCAATTAACAGAGAAACATATTAAAAAGAAATAAACATTTGGTAGGTTTATTTCTTTTTAATATGTTTTGCTTGTATTTAGTATCGAATCAAATACCGCGATGCGCCTGACAGGTTCTATTCTCAGACCTTCTATTCTATTCGTATTACTTGAGTGGGGTTCTATTTTACAGTTTGAAAGAAAGGAACGACATGAACATGAAAGATATATTTAATATTTTAGTTCACATGAGTGCCATGATGCTTAAGGTGCTGTTCATGTCTGCACAGTAGATATATAATGAGATGCATGATGCCTTTTATATTCGTATATGAAGCGATAACCTGAAGGTCAGTCGCTAATACAATTGTCATTTCTATTGTTATAAAAAATAATTATTGATGGAAGCACTAATAATTATGTAATTTACAGCTAAAACTCTACGATCATTAATAGATACCTAAATAAATAGTCTTAAGCAATATCTGTGGATATAATTATTATTAGAGAACGTCTTTATTTTGCCTGTTTGTAAATTATGTAAAACAATAAAAATTAAAAACCACAAGTTGTTTATTATTAAACTTTAAAATGGAAGTGTTTGTTACACAAACACGACTTCCACGATTTTAATTATGTCGGAATATTAGGAGTTCTAAAATTAAAATGAGATAAACTTTTAAGGAACTTAAAGGCGTGCTTGTGAATAATTGTTTAGACATATTGTTTGCATATAATAATAATAATTGTCATATTATGATATTCAACTGTGCTAGTGCATATAGGTTTGCAGCTTCGTCCGCCCTCAGTAAAAAGTAAACTATGACAAAAGTATTTTTTTTTTATACCACTGAGGTGGCAAACAAGCATACGGCCCACCTGATGGTAAGCGGTTACCGTAGCCCATGAACGCCCGCAATACCAGAGGTATTACGCGCGCGTTGCCGACCCTGAAGAAACCTCTTTACCCCCCTTTTGAAGAACCCCATGCTGTAGTCTCTCGGGAAAACCTCGGCCTTTATTTAGTAAAGAAAGATTAATACTAGTCTACAATATCCCACAATAGTATACATGAACTACTTTCGTACTACTTAAATTAGTTTGTAATAAATTTTCAGAAGTTATAAACATGACAAAAGAATTTGAAGTTATAGAAAAAAAAAACAACTTTTATTTAGAATCTTTAAGTACCTGCCATTTTGGTAAGCAATTTCCAGAATGACCTGCAATTTTCTACATGTATATTGTAAAACATGACAATTGGAAAAAAAAAGTTATAAAACATTATAACTTTTTTATTTATATATAACTTATTGGAGTACTTGGAGTTATATTTTTTCTGTCCTACTTCAAATAAAGCCTAAATTTTAGAACGTGTGAACTTTAAAACTAAACAGTTTTCTTAGATTTTCAACTTTTGTCAAATATATACTCTCAGGTAAACTTCTGCTGCAAATAGAATAATTTTCTACCATGTAGCACATGATCAATCTTAGTATTAGGAATTTAAATATATGTATAGTTTTATTTCTTTGTATTTTAGTTTTATTTGTATAGATTAATAGTAGATAAAAAATATGACAGAGATAAGTAAATGTACAAAGAAAAGCTTAACTCTAGAATGTCCAATACCGTGACAATTTACAAACAAGTATTTATTATTATTAATATTGTAGTTTATTTAATAATCGATTGTACAGATAATTTCGATAAAATATTTCCCTTACAAAATTAGTTAACATAGGTATTGATCAAACAGCACAACTTTCGTAAACTAAATCTCAAACTTATGATTTGGTCAATATTGGCCCTTAAAATAATGATTACGATGTAATCAAGTAGATGCTTTGTTTTAGAGATAGCAATACAATTAACCCAAATATTACCAAATATGTAGTTTGTCCGTGAACCTTAACTACATAATTTGTGGTTTAGTTTGTTTACTGAACATTGCATAATACTCGTAATTCTACATTCCGATATCAACCGACCAGCTCGTACTATTTATTGGGTAATATTTAGATGCATCTCTAAACGCATCGTATGCGGCGTGAGTACCGTTAACCACAAATGTGGTTACATGACTACCCTTTTAACCTGCATTAGTATGTTAATATGTATAGATACATATTTAGAAGCTAATAAAATCTTCGTATTCAATCAGGTAAATGCATCTGTCTGTGAGTAGGTACAGTTGCATTAAAACGAGATGGATCTTGTTGATATAAAAACCAAATTGTTTCCCGCAGTATCTTTTGCACGAATCTGTCATCTTCCGTTGGCCCTACGGTTAAGATTTCGATATCTTTTTCCTTGTTGATAACTAATGTTTTATTTAAATGAACTAATGTAATAAGGCATTTAAATGTCTATCAATTGTCTAGTACCGATAATATAAGGATTGCTTAGTTGTATTGCGTGTGTATATAACGTGTGCGTGTTATACATTAATCACTATTCAACTAATTTTAATTTCTTTATATAGTTTGAGAGATATTTTATATTCTGATTCAGTTTAGCAAATCCGGGAGTACAGGTAATAGGTGTATATAATTTCAGTTTTAAATCTATTTATGATTGATGCTCTACAAATCGCAAATCCAGCCCCACATGGAGTATTGCTGTCACTTATGGACGGGAGCACCTAGATACCAGCTCGAGCTCTTTGACTCAGTGCAACGACGAGCTATGAGAATTGTCAATGATCCCAGGTTTACAAACGGTATCGAACTCTTAAGTCTTACGAGAGATTTTGCATCAGTCTGCGTGTTCTACCACTTGTTTAACGGACTGTGCTCAGAGGAATTATTCAATATGATACCCACGGCCACTTTCTACCATCGTATGGCTCGCCATCGACAGGGAGTTTATGCTCATACCTTACACCCTAAATGGTCGTGTCTACACGGTTTCAAAGATGTTTTCTTCCACGAACACTCAGGTTATAAAATGAGCTCCTTGCCGAGGTTTTACCAAGAGACTACAGCATGGAGTTCTTCAAGAGGGGAGTAAACAGGTTTCTTCAGGGTCGGCAACGCGCGCGTAGTAGCCCTGGTACTGCAAGCGTTCATAGGCTACGGTAACCACCTACCATCAGGTGGGCCGTATGCTTGTTTGCCACCTCAGTGGTATAAAAAAAGGTCTATCGTTATTCGAAAATAATATACTGTTTAAGGAAGAAGTAAAGAGGAACCACGAAATAATCTCTGCCAAAAAAAAAATATAACACCTTATTCCTGAGAATGAGGAGTGCCATGAGTGGCACAGTGTGTTGGTAATGCTACCACTTTCCATTAGGTGGGCCGTCAGCTTGTTTGCCATTCACAGTAGAATATAAAAAAGATTAATTCTGAAAGTGGACAAAGTAAGATATGCATATGTATCTGTGACATGCATATTTTACTTTATATCCACTGAAGCTGTTAGCTCTCGGGTTTCTCCGCCTAAACTGTAAGGCATAAAATTATACATACTTATATAATAATAAAAAAAATTGAATGTCCTCAAAGCAAGTATATTTTTTTGTTTAGTTAATACCGTGTGATTTCATATTAGTTTTGTCAGGATAGAAGTAATTTTTTCGGAATAAGTCTTATTGTAATTAAGATTAAGTTCTACAAAAAAAAATCGGCCTTAATTCAAAATCCAGTTATTTTTAATAAAAAACTAAACTACTTAACCCGTTTCGATAAAAAGTCTATGAGACCAATATGTAAGTATATCATATATGTTTTCAGATAAAATTTTCAAATTGCTTTATAACTGACGAAGTTATGAGGTAAGAACCATAAAAATAATCGAGCGAAATGACCTTCTTTTTGAAGTCGGTTGAAAAAAAGTTGTATGGGAAATTGTTTGGATATAATTAACTGGTCAATGTAAACATTCAAACTTCAAGAGAAAAAAAATTACATAGTTGATTATTTTGAGTAAACATTACATTAACAGATCTCTAATTAAACTGAAGTCGTCAGTTTGAGACAGCACGACGTTGGGGCCACTATTTCGATAGTGAAATTGCTAAAGTAAACAGAAAAGTGCGTACCTATATGCAAATAAGAAGCGGGGAGAAAGCCTCTTATGACGAAATATGGATAAAGCACCAAGAACTGGCATTTTTGTCCAAAGGTGTGTCTTATTTGTCCATAAATTACCACAATGACAATACTAATGAATTATAAGTAGATATTGTTAGAAATTTACAATTATGTACCTACGGTGTCTTAGTAAATATAATTCATTTATCTTTTTAATTGTTCAAATAGAGAAGACAACTACTTTTTTTATAGTCCCGTTTCAAGTGCATTCATCTTAATGATTGTAATTGCTCATATGTGGGAAAACTATTAATTAGCTAGAGTACAATTATAGAGAGGTCAATAATATATACATATTTTAACGAATGCGAGAGAGTATATCGACTGTCAACGAAGATATAGTAGAAGACCTAACATAAATTTGTAAATACTATAATTCATTCAATTGTGACATTTACAGTAAATTTCTTTCTAAAGTTATTTGGTAATACTGTAGCCTATGTTTCGGTAGCGTTTAATGCCTATTATAATTATACTCATGTATGTAATATGAAAATATGCTCATTAAGCAGTTGTCATCGAAATACTTGAAATGAATGACAGACAAACAATAAAATACAATTAGTTCATCACATTGAATGGCCATCAAAGGTTTTGTGATTGCTATTGACAGTCTTATTATGATGGCGTGTTTTGTACTTTCGTTGCCGGTTGACTTATAGAAGGTAGGTGTTTGTGTCAGCTCTCACTATTCAAACATGTTATTTTTTCTTTATCTATAAGTCGTGCTTAAAGGGTCAGGTAGTTTCTGAATATGTCATTCTTTATCTGTGTTTATTTCCAGAACTACCAGTTATAGTGTGTACGGTTAGCAAAGGGTTAGTATGGGATACCGCTGATCTCGTAATTTGGGTTCCCACTTGTGATGACACGCTGACATTGTTAAATTTTAGAGGATTGCTATTATGGTTTGACATAGTCTCGGAATACGCTAAAATAGAAAGCGTGCATATATGAGATATTATTGAATATTTAATTATATTTTTATATTGCTTCTATCGAGACAATAGGTTTACAGTCTATAACATTGTTTTAGAAATCAGAATTTTTAATTTATTGGCAATGTGTAGTTGATTAACATAGCTTTTTTGTACTTAGTCTGTTGCACCCTTTTCTATGATTAAATTACATAAAATATACAGAAATTAAATAAATCACCTAAATTTACATTTTACGAAATCTAAAGATAAATAATTATTCCTTCATATTTTTTTATTACTCTAAGTAAATTATTTTATTACCTTTATTTTTAAAAAACACTAGTTTCCCACACTAATGGTCGATATAAAACTGTTATGCTTTAATGCAACTTATATGTAACGCATGTAGCGTAATTGTATGAGATACTATGTTGCCACCGTGTTTAATTAATTAGTTTTGCTATATTTTGTAATGATAATGGCCTCAAGAGTACAGAAAATAGTTGAGATTATAGTGTACTTTTTATTTTAATTTATTTATTGTTATATTTGTCAAAGATTTTTTTTTGTTAATAAAAATAGACACAGTGATTAAATTATGTGTAAAGTATACAAACATCGTCATGTAGAATGTATGTATTTAAATAAATTTAGAGCAGAGGCTTCCGTATCGACATGTTAAATTTGAGTATGGGAAAATATTAACGCTCATACACAAAATTGTAGTAAGCACAGATATCAACAAGTGGATTTGTTAAAATTATACATTACAGATATAATGTCGGTCGTAGTCAAATTGAACACGGTATCTCTCAACAAAATATTTATGACTATTATTTAATATGTAAATTTCATTATCATACGGTATAATAAAAATATGTACATGAGATATAATTATATAAAGAAATATAAATATCCAAGTTAAAAGACAAAATGCATATGTTAGCTGCGTCTGTATTCAACACAGTCACAAAAATTATAATTTATATATTCATTATGAATGCATAAATTGGATTCGCCAATATAAAATGTTGTTATGTCACTGCTGTGACGCAACAGTGGGGCTATGAAGATTTCCGTTGTCACCAAGAGTATGCCATCGCCGTGCTAGCATGGTCTAAGGTTAGCGAAAAGAAAGTCCACACGCAAGATGAGGCCGGGCCGGGCGCGCTCCGCTGCCTGTGGCCGCGATCATTACGCAGCGGGTCCGGTGCGCGCTCCACGAATCATGATCTTTGACCCTTCGACATGACATTTTACCAAATGTTTTCATTACGTTATTTAATAATACAATGCATCTGTAATTGTGACATGCGTAAATGTAATTTTAAAATATAGCGTTAATTTTTTACTTTGGATGAAATTTAGGATTTACTGATTGTGTTGCGGCAGGTAAAATAGTGAACAATAGAAATCAAACTACATCTGAAAAACAATAAAACACTCAAGACAGTAATTAATATTAACAATTCATAGTTGAACGTTTAATAGAAACAGTAATGTGAGTGCGTAATGTCTTAACGCGTTGAAGTCTTTAGTATAAAAGTAACTAGTCGTTGTATTCTCTATCATATTTTGTTAGTATTTTCCACATTTAAGAAATATGTATATTGATATCGAACCAACATTTTTATAATAAAAATAATTAATAGTAATTGTACATGGTAAATGTAGTCAGTAATAGCTAGAGCTAATTTTATAACAGTTTTTATTTTAGTGCGATCATTTTTTCTTTCTTTATGTCGTAGTGTGTAAAATATCTTTACAATAATACATTTACAATAAACAAATTAGTAAATATTACATACACATGCTAAATATATTTGCCAATTATTGTATGTCTACTTGGATACAAGGATTACTATTTGCTTTTAGTTTTAAAAGCGATTGTTTACAGCTAGGTACAAGTCAGTGACTACAACGTGACGGTGGCCACCATGAATGTAATTAAAGATTTTGTGATAACTATTTTGACAAGCATTTAAGTAAAGCATTGTCATTATCTTTAGAGATAACAGCATGAGGTAAAAAGTCCTATTACGTTTATTAGTGTCGTTGATGCGCACGTAACTATTTAGCATCTTATGGGCTTATTATACTTAAAAGTGTAAAACTTTTTAATTTTTATTTCAAATTCTTAAGTCAAGAATGGATTATTTATCAGTCACCAATGTTTATACTAGACTGAGTATACACATATGTGACATGACAGTTTTGTATAAAAAAGTGTAAGAAACAATCAGAGAGACCTACTAAATGAGGTTAAAATAAAAAAGAGAACTAATTACTTCAATATCAGAATTTAACTCTATTTGCTTACCCTTATCCTATTTATATGAATTTCGAGGTCGGCATAATATATTTTCATCCATATTACCTAAGGTATTGGCTTTCAATTTTACAACAGGGTTTTTGCCGGGGGGAAAGGGATTGTTAGCAATGGAGTTTAACAGCCCTATTGCTAGCAATATGCCTTATTAGGTCGACCTCCACGCGGTCCCCCCTGGAAACTATTGTGAACAATTCTTATTGAATTCGTCACGATGAGCTAACTGACCTACTTCATCCTCACCTATCATCCTTCACTGGTGTCCTGCTGGTGTATACCGATAGTTGTTTGCCTGACGTCATCCTTCTTTAGGAATATTTGCTATTTGTTTATCTATGATATACAGTTTAGATTTACTATAATTTATTTTCTTGTGCTGTATTTAAAATATGGTTTATTTTTTAGGTATTTGTTGGGATTAACTAAATAAATAAATAAGTAAATAAATTAAAACAACAATTGTTACGGACTGCTTGCATAGGCTTCTTTCTGGCTAATAATGGAGATTAATATTACCGATGTGTCTGTAAGACAAATTATTAGCTAACTGTTTTCGTTATAAACTGACAGGAAAAAGTTTATGGTATTTATTTTTTAAATTATAATGTACAACGGTATCAGCAGTCGGCCGCAGCTATATAGCTATTTAGTTCCTTATAATAATATGTATAGATATATTAAATTTATTTACTGTATTTATTGTTTAATCATAAAATATTACACATACCTGAACGAGATTTTGTACAAAAGTCGTTTGCTTGGGTACCTCTATTCCATTACTGTTTTTGTAAAGTAGTTTTACTTGCATAACTATGTTTTGGTTTGAAGACTGGAATCATCATCATCATCTGTCATTATATATCCACTGCTGAACATAGGCGGGAGGCCTATGGCCATAGAAACGGTCTTGTGACACTTGCATCCACTAATTCCCTGCAATGCATTTGAGGTTGTCACTTCATCTAGTGGGGCCCTTCCTGCAATGCGTTTGCCTGTACGGGCCGCTACTTAAGAACCTTGCTTCCATTAAAAAAACCTGTTATATATACACAGATATAATAATTATACAGACTAGAAGGTTGTCGCATAAAACATAGCGACAGAAAACAAAGTTTAAAAAAAATACCTTTCTTCTATTGTCACTTCAACATGATTATTCTTCGGGCTATGTTGATTACTTTGGTTTTTTTGTAGACGTCCTCGTTTTGGATTCGTCACGCAAAGAAACTCTGAGCTTAGCTCTCTGCATAGTTCGCCGAATAAATTGAAGCTTATGCATACAGGCAGCAACAGAAGGGTGAGATATGACAGTGAAATTATAGATTACAAACGTATAAGATCTTAGCCCTCAAGAATGACAACGCATGAGCGATATCATGGGTGATACAATATACTCGGTTATGTTCATGGTATTGTTTATGTTTATAGGCAACGATTACTATTTTCATCAGGAGGGCCAACAGCTTGTTTGCCCTTTTTAGTTGTATAAAAAAAGTATATTTTAATGCCGTAATGAAAAAGTTCAGTGTAATCTGAATATCTGAAGTTAAAGCAAATTTTTTAACTTATATGGATATACCTAGTCATGTATAAGTGAAAAAACGACGAATCCAACTCGGCTGCGCAGCGTTCGGAACACTACACCACATCTTTCATCCAAAATACCTCAAAGTTTGAAGTCGAATGTTTTTAACCAGTGCGTATTGCCAGTGATGACTTATGGAACCGAAACATGGTCCTATATGATTGCCTGTATGCTCAAGCTTCAAATTACTCAGCGGGCTATGGCGAGGGCTATACTTGGAGTTTCTTTGCGTGATAGAATCCGAATCGAGGATATCCGCAAAAGAAAGTAAGTAAAGTAAGTATAAGCAAGCTGAACAGGCAATGGGCTGGTCACATAGCTTGAAGAACTGACAACTGATGGAGAAGAAAGGGTCTTAAGTGGCGACCTTGTACTGACAAATGCAGTGTAGGACGACCCCCCTATTAGATAAAGTGACGAGCTCAAATGCATTGCAGGGAGTTAATGGATGCAGGTAGCTTATTACCGTTCCTTATGGCGGTCTATCGGGAATGCCTATGTCCAACAATGGATAGGTAATGGCTGAAATTATGATAAATGATAAGTGAAACACTTGTACTATTTTACTAAAGATTTCTATTATTTAAGGTATTTTATTGATTCGCAGTTAAATTTCAAAAACGATTCTAACATTATCTCGTTAATTTGAGCATGACGGCTAATTGACTGTTCAACTATAATTTAACGAGCGTAGCACCTGCGTATGTGCGCGTATTGATCAATGAAGCCACCAAGAAGGGGTCAGGTTTGTAAATAGTACCGTGAATATTGTCATAGTGTCGCATCCTCGTTATCGGATGTCATATTTTACACAATCGGTAGTTGTTTAAGGCGGCGGGAGCGAGCTACGGCGGCGCAAGTGAGCAATTCCCACGGCGCAGTGTATACCGATACAGCAGCGTGAGTGCCAGTGCGCGTGCGCACGCGATCGACCCCAGCTCGGAATTCGTGTGTTGTCCAGCTCTGTAGAGTATAGTGGAACCAGTGATAATCTCCCGACTGACACCATGCGACCAGTGAGTAAATCTTAGTGATTATTTTTAGTGTTTCATATGTAATAAGCTAATGAAAACCCTTATTAATATTGTCACAGAAATATTGTATTTTATACCTAACTTGGATTTTTATCCTTAAAGAAACTGCCATTAAAACACATAAGTAAGTGTTAAAGGAACTTTCTATAACGATTATGGGCAATAAATATTAACTCTTTATGTGTTTTAAATGTATCTTCTTTAAAGCGACTATCTGGCATCACACAGCAAAACAATTTTCTCTCACGTACGTTACATTATTGTGTATATACCTGTCATCAAATCTGATTTATGTTTACAATATGACCTTTCACTCTACTCTTACTTGAATTGTTTGATCTGTCATGTTACATATTTTTATTTCAATATTCATATTGTTGTTTCTTTTTGATCCATTAAATTGTTAATCAATTTCAAAAAGTGATTCTTTTTATATGAGTTTGTTATGTGACTTGTTCATAAATTTAGAAATGATTTTAATTTGTCATATTGTATTCAATAGGATTTATTCCCGTATCTTATTCTAATTTTACTATCATTGATCCTTTTTCATATTTAAAAAAAATCTATTTGCTACTATGTTTGATTTTATATTAATTTTATTGTATTATTATCTAATTTCTCACTTATATAAATAAAAAAGACAGAAGGTATTTTAAAAATGGAATCGCAAAAATAGCCATCAATACATATAAGAAGAATATTAATGCATACTTTCCCCCATTCTCGTGATGTAAGCGAATAAACGCGTGTTGGTGCGATCTGCTCGTTTACATGAATTGTAGGAACTCGGAAGAGATGGCGATAATAAACTATTAAGGATTCGACAGATGTTCGCCGAGAGGTGCATGTATGTGTAATGTTATGCAGTCTCGTCGACATAATGTCGTGCCGGTGAAATTGATTACTCAACAGTATTTCTTGTTGAGAGTCTAGACTGAGCAAGATGACTGACTTATTTAGATTTTGATGACGCCAGATCACTTTCATGTTTTCTATTTATATGAAACCATAACTAGTAGAAAAAATAAAACTATTGAAAATCTACCGAAGTTATTTATAAAACAAAATATTTTTTTACAAAGATATGCTGAAATAATGATATGAATATAATAATAGAATGTAATAAAACATTATCGGTTTGATAACAATAAAAACAGGCTTTTGCCGAAAATATGCAATTTTGCATAAATTAACTAAAAAGAGTAATAAAAGAACTTATTGGGAACCATGTCCTGTAGAGAAAGTTGTCTATTCATGACGAATAGATATTTCCGTTTCCGTTACAAGCATAGCTGTCATAAACGTTTTATAGAATATTGTCTTCAGACACTTGAAGTGTTTTATAACTTTTACTCACTACATTTAATTGTAAGTTCATACGAGTATTTGAACGTGCCATAAACAAAACACCGTCTCGAATTCATGAAACTATTAGTACATAACAATATAGCTATTAATTCGTGGTGTTTTATAGTGCCTTTGTCAGTTTATTACTTAAATCGATTGAGCAACTACAGGTAAATTTTGGCCAGATGTAAATGTTTTCTTTGAATGTTTCAAATGGCCAATAAAGTTTAAGAGATTCTATGGCTGCTAACTAATGTCTTAACCCTTTGTTATATAAGTATAGATAATGCGACGTATCTTTAATTACAAATCATTGATGATACTAACCTTGTCGATAGTAAGGAGGCTTTAGTAACATTAGCGCAGATTCTGAAGCTTATATTGAGACTGTAAAATTACATTCACTTGAAATTCTGCATAATCATTATAGTAAGGACTAGCATAAACAAATAAATTGATAGATTTGAATCAGATAGTTCTTGATGGTTCATAATTTAATACTTTCTAAACTAATTTAAGAGTTTGTTTTGTTAACAAATAATATTTTTATCATTGTTCTAATATTATAATTTTTATTAAGTTTATAACTAACCTTAAGTAGAGCCGACAAGTGAATGATGTCTGATAGGGATCAATGGAAAAAAACAGACTGTTGACTCCAAGTCACGTAAGTAATAGAACAAAGGCAATGTAAATGAATGGATAAGATACCGGTAGCTAGTCATTTATAAGAACGGGATATTAAATGAAAATAATGTAGATATAATAATTTCATTAAAAGTAATTATATAAAAATGTATATAATATTGCTGACTATTGGTTAGCAATATTATATACTCTTTTAATGTCTTTACTTGAATATTATAAGATTGATGCTTTCTTTTCACCATATCGTTACAATTTCTGTTAAACAAAGTATTCCAATAAGCCATAAAAATAATTTATTAATGTTTTATTCGATTTGGTAAATATGAACTAGAACATAATAAAACAACGACATTATCTATCATATGGATATCTTTTATTAAGTAGGTATCAACTAATATTTAATTTAAACACGTAATAGTTATAATTCTGTATTCAAAAAAGTTCTAGTATATCTTTATAATTTTTTATAAGTAATATTAAAATTTATCTAACAGTGAAATTATACAATAGTGCGCAACACGTAGATACGTACACTAGATTGTACGTTGCGTGTGCAACAATAAGACAAGTGAACATAAACATTAATAACAATTTAGACCTTTAAAGAATTATAATAACCGTACTCAGTACTGTGCGCACATTCCTTTGAAATAATGATATACTGGTAATATAATAATAAATGAATGTTACACTTGTAAGTTTTAGGTAAGAATCATGCGTAATATTTCCTTATTTACATGGTGTCTTGCACTAAGCGATTTCATAAAAAAATTAATCTCAATGTTTATGATGCAACAATAATTTTATTTGATAGCTATCGTTTCCCAAGACACTGCCAAATATTAACTTACAGCCACAGATGTCTATGATAAGTAAATTGTATCTATATTAAGGCCATATCTTTTATTTTATCGCATAGTTTCTAGGCGTGAGACAGTGAAAGCCTTACGTTTTTGATATTGCTCTCACGATTTTATATTGTTGATTAAAATATACTATGTTTACAATTTCTATTTTTAATTTTCACACCACGTTTATTTAATAAACTCCCCCCGGAATGCATTTGTGATGTCACGAGTAGCTTACCAATTATTTAACAATACGATTTCTTTTCTGTAGAGCACATTTCATGCCACATGCCTTTAGGGGTTTAGTGCCTTCTTTACTTAATGTCATGAGCTTGATTTATTTTGGGCGAGTACAGAGGTTATGCCACGATTAAGCAACTCAATTTATCACGCCGTCCGATTGTAATAGCGTAAATAATATTATGCGTAATGAATTGGGCTTAGGTCAAATACGTGTAGTAGTATATAGTAGCGGAACTAAAATTTCAATTTGTAATAATCATCTGTATATTTATTGATTACATTGTGAATTTTTTGAACATTGATTTACAACTTATTAGATTCTGATCAATTATCGAATGAGATGGAAAATCATTTATTTATATACGGATCCTCTATTAAAAAAGCTTTACTAAAAAAACTTTAAGGAAATAAAAATTAAAACTATTAAGACTTCATATAAACACAATCTAGAAACCAGTAACCGTATAGAAAATAAAAATTAGAACAAAATTGTAATAATTTTGCCACCAACCACAGATAATATAATACTCCCATTAATTGTTTTTCGTGGTTTTAATCTGTGAACTTGGTATTTTCTGCTAAATTTCATATTAATTTAAACTCTGTCAAGCAGTCAACTTTATAATCTACATTTTACTGGGTACATATATTTATAACGTAGCAAAATTAATCAAATATTTTACAAATAAAACAGTAGATAGGTGATTTTTTTTAAATAAATTCATTATATAAATCGTAAATACAACCAGAAAATGCAGAAATAAACTACAAATTCTAATATACGTACATAACAAAACAATTTTATGTATGTTATGTATATATAAAGAATTGTAGTGTTTGATTTGTGCGTAGGTGTATCTACGCATGTTTGAATCTCTACATTTTTTCTAAGTACGATACGAACTGTATCACGGTACTTAATAATCATAAGGAAGTGAAAGACATTGTTCACTCTCTTAGATAATCATACAACATACATAGATATAAACGTAAATATACGACAGTGACATCGGCTTATTGCTACAGCGTTCTATTAAGTTTACGGATAAACCTATCCTATTAATATATATTAAAGTTAATAACGATGGAAGGATGTTTGTTATATTTTCACGTATAAACTACTGAATGGATTTGAATGAAATTTAGTAGACGGGTAGGTTATATTTTAATTCAGCATGGAATATACATAAGGTATGTATTGATTCACGCAGGTGGAGCTGCGGGGTATAACTAGTTTATAATTGTAAATAAAATGTATAGTTTTTATGTATGTATTTTTGTGCACCTACCACGTGTTTTATTGTTGATTGTCTAAACCAATTTTCTATGAAATCATGAAATTAAGAATCTTATGTTTAGGTTAGTTTTTATTATCCTAATTAATAGGGTTATTTTTAAAATACCTAACTATAAATTTAAGAAGAAAGTGGAAAGTGATTAATGACATTCTATTGTTACTGCGTCCTGTCATAGTATTACAATGTATTATTAATAATACTCATTAATTGGCAATGAGCAAGTTTACATTGAACAAATACCGCATTCAGTTATTATATTATCTCATTTGTGACAAGCCATGATATGATTAATTGCCATGCAATACGGATCGTTTATAATTAACACACGTCGTGTCATTGTTGCACGATTAATCCATTCACGACATCTTAGATCTAATCAAAGCATCACTATCTTAATTGTAGCTATTGGTCGATGGGAATTAATATACTCGTTCAAGTGTTGTTAAAATAAAAAAAAAACTTTGATAATTTTTTCAAAACACTTACCCTTTATTATTAACCCAATTGGCCGTGTGGTCCCGGCATAGAATAGGCCAGCATTTCCTTTCTCATGGGTATCGTAAGAGGCGAAGAAGGGACGGCGAGGGATGGGCAG